TGTAGTTTATGAAATACAGCATAGACACATTTCTGTAGTGTTACAGAGAATGGAGGATCATGATCAGATATGTCCAAGCTTGGTTACTTTATTACATCTACGGTTATTCTAACACTGTCCTCTCTTCTTCAGATTGTGTTGCTGATAGCGTTCATGTGCATCACTCTGCTGGTGGCCAGTCTGGTGTGCCTCACCCTACCAGGTAAGATGTGGTGGCATAAAAGAAAGCCAGCTATTTATTTTCTGCCTTGAAGACCCACACCCAAACCATAATTAAAGGGTAAATCTATATATATACTATGCATGCCTCTGCTGTTTAAGTGGCTCTTCTTTAAGTTCTAGCTCAAATAGTACTTCACTTCTTCATCAACCAGACTGGAGGATTACTCTAAAAAGTTGACGAGAGGTCATGTTTGTTTTGTCATGTTTCAGTGTTCACCGGCCGCTGGCTGATGTCCTTCTGGACAGGAAACTCCAAAATCCACGAGCTGTACACAGCAGCGTGCGGCCTGTATGTCTGCTGGCTGTCTATCCGCGGAGTCACTGTGTTGTTGGCGTGGATGCCCCAGGGACGCACCGTCATTGCACGTAAAGTCCAGGAGTGGACGCTCATGGTAGGTATCTGAGCAGCCTCCATTGTTGGCAAACACCAACGCTGGGCAGCAGAGCGGTGTGTTGTAATGTGTTGTTCTCGTTCCAGCTATTGGATTGTTGAGAGGTGGATCTTAATGCAGTGTTTTTGTTAAATGGTTGGCTGCTTATTACAAGATCATTAGTCGATATCCATCTGCGTAGTCGTAATATCCCAACCTTTACATTAACTCTGTCAGTGCTGCAGCAGTTTAGGAATAAATTTGGTGCCATCAAAGGAGAATAACACTTAAACTATCATACTTGTTCCTTTAATCAGAGTGTTGAAGTTTTATGATTAATCATGTTCATTGTATATTTTTATGTTGTTCGTGCAGATTCTGAAGACTCTGGTTGTAGCTCTGCTGGTCGCTGGGGTCATCCCGCTGCTACTGGGCCTGCTGTTTGAACTGGTCATTGTGGCTCCGCTCAGAGTCCCCCTGGATCAAACACCCCTCTTCTACCCTTGGCAGGTCTGTGTTGTATGTCTGTCTTTCTCCATCTCTCTCTACAGAGGCTTCCTTCTAGTGCTTCACTGTTGTTGCCCATTTGTGGCTCCTTAGCATTGTCATATAATTCTCACTTCTTATATCAATGGCCATCCGTTAATCTCTGTTATCTACAGGACTGGGCTCTTGGAGTGCTCCATGCCAAAATCATTGCTGCCATCACCCTCATGGGCCCTCAGTGGTGGCTGAAGACTGTTATTGAGCAGGTGGGTTTAGATGGATATTGCTCTTTTGATCAGCAAGTATTCACTACTGTAAATAGTTTTTAGTGTCATGATGGGATAAGAAACAAATACTTGAATACAAATTTGACTGAACAGCTTTTAGTCTGTAGTTTAATTTGAGAGAACCCCAGTTAAAGTTCCCATGTTCTGCGCTGACGGCCTTAAAGCAAACAGTAGATCCCTACCACATCCATATGTGCTGTTTTCTAACTGACACTGCATTCTTTCCCACCTAAAGAGAGGGTTAACGCCTGATTTATGGTTGGGCAGCACAATGTTTTCTGTTTATGCTTTGGTGAAAGGTTTCATCGTCTCCATGGTAACCAGAGCCCCCCTGCGTTTTTGTAAGGTCTGAGCCTATTAAGGTCGCATTAAGTGAAATGTAATCTGCACAGACAGCTGTTTAAAAATCACATGAATATCTCGCTGTATATATGGAGTTTTTCAGGGTTTTTCATGCACTGATTTATTTGTGGTCACCCACTCTGAAGGGTTGAAGCAATATACCAGTGTGATATTAAAGTTGACAGTTAGCATACCATGTATATTTTGCTCATCTATGATATTGAAAAAAAATGCAGCTGGACGGATTATGTCCACTTTATTTTAGTCATTTTCAAGGGGAGACTTTTAACACATACTTAGATCATCAGTTACAGTAATAAAATGTTTGTTCAACCAAAAATAACCCCGCCACTTTTATTCCTTTAAGCGTCATTCTTACTGATAACATAAATTCTGTAATACTGTCATACAGTGAAACCGAGATATTTTCTGAGATGGAATATCGCACCATGAAAATCTCATTCCGTTGCAACCCTACCGCCACGATCTGCTGCCACGTATAGATTTTTTACTTTTGGAGCTTAACTGTTCATCAGGAGTGCACTCTGGGCACAGGGGGAGCAGCAGAACATCAGGCACAGTGAAAGTGAAACGTAGCCATCATTAGCTCTGTATCTAAAAGTTTTCATTTGCAAGCAGGTGTTTATCCATCTATCAGTTTTGATCAAATCTAATGACCAGTTATCCAACCCACGACTCAAACGCTATGCCTATGCTGCATTCAAGGACCCGCCAAAACCTTTGTATTTTGAGAGTGAACACAGGACACTGGGACATAACAAAATTCTCCAGTTGTGCGACATGAAAACATCAAGTGACACTTTTTCCTGTCGAAAATACATCATTTCTATCAAGCCACACTCATCAAAAGTATCAAGCTCCCAACTATTAATCAAGCTTAAGAGAAGGATCAATTACGCTGTAATTGGCCGCACGGTATAACAGCTGTGTACTTTTTCCTCAGGTTTATGCAAACGGAATTCGCAACATTGATCTCCAGTTCATCATCCGTAAACTGGCAGCTCCGGTCATCTCAGTCCTGCTACTGTCCTTGTGCGTGCCATATGTGATCGCTGCTGGGGTGGTCCCTGCTGTGGGTGAGTACATGTGAACACAGGAATCAATTAGAAAGTTTATTGCTTTGAAATTATTGCTGTTTTTTTCCTCCAAAACTGGAGCACCAAACTAAGAGACAAGTATCAGTGAACACTCTCCCCTGTGCTGAGTAATACATATAATATCAGTTGCAAGAGGAGAGGCATAAAGCCCTGGCCTTGCTCACTTAAATCCACTTAAAGCACTGACAGCTTCCATTAGATTAAACCTGTCAATGTGCTGCGAGCTATGAAGTTACATTAAATTACAGAGGTTTCTCTAAGATACTGTAATCCGTCTTATCTCCCGATGACGGTTTCAGTGACTACAGTGTCAGCTAATGCGACTGAAACAATTCATAACCCAAGTGCATTACTTTTTCAGGAGTTACCCCGGAGATGGAGATTCTGATGCAAAGGAGAATCTACCCGTTTCTCTTGATGGTTGTCTCACTTATCGGCATCCTGTCCTTCCAGATCCGACAGTTCAAACGCCTTTATGAACACATCAAGAACGACAAGTGAGGATCTTTCAGCGTAGAAACCATCACATATTTACCAGTTTGGAGGTTATAATAATTGGGATAATCTCTCTTCACAGGTACCTGGTTGGGCAGAGGCTTGTCAACTACGAACGGAAAGCTGGAAGAGCAAGCTCAGTCCCGCCACCCCCCAACCCCGTCGCAGAGTAGATTTTTGTGTCACACGTTGCCACAGTTTTGCACCTGTTACCCTGCGTACATCCTGTCCCCCCACCCTTTTGATTTTCAGCTCAGTCCTCGGACCGTAATCCTTTTGAATCGCCTGTGGATCTCGGTGGATTTGATGGATGTCGTTCAATTCCTTGAATTCCCTTTTGACGCCCATCAAAGGAGGGATGGGGAAAATGTATTATAATCACGGGGCAGCTGAGTGATCCCCCTCAGACAAATGGAGAAGGCAGGAGAGTGACGGTTGGAGGTTTGATTCGAAGCTCAACATCTGTATTGTCGTTCATGCCTTGCTTTGTAAAGTGCTGCCTGATAATTGTACATGTGTAAATACTTTGAACGCAGACTTTGTCTTAAAAAAGAAGACAGACATGGATTAATGCAATGACCATTGTACATCTTAAAAGTGTAATGTATAATTTATTAAATCAAACTGACAATTTATCCTCCTGTGTTTCATGTGTTCTCAAGACAAGTACTGTACATGTAGTGGTTGTTCAACAGGTTGATGATGGAGTAGCAGGTTTTTATTACACCTCCACACTGGCAATAGCCGTGGCCAAGGCATTATGTTTTTGGGTTCTCTGTCCGTCCATTTCTCCCATTTTCATGAACATGATACCTCAACAACGCTTTCAGGGAATTTTAATCAAATTTGGCACAAATGTCCAGTTGGATTCAAGGATGAACTGATTACATTTTTTAGTCGTGGGTCAAAGGTCAAGATCACTGTGATCTTGAATCTGTCTTTCTCGTAAATGTAATATCTCAAGAATGCCTTAAAGGATTTATACAAATGTGGCACAAACGTCCATCTCTTTCACGTTAACACGATATCTCAAAAATGCCTTGAGATAAATTCCTCTAATTTGACACAAACTTCTGCTTGGATTCAATGAGGAACTGATTACATTTTGGTGGTCGTGAAAAGTCAAGGTCCCTGTGATCTTGCATAAAGCTTTCTCGTGAACTCAGTATCTCAAGAAGGAATTTCTTCAAATGCACAAACATCCAATTAACAGTAAACTGACTAGAATTTGGCAGTCAAAGGTCCTCATCTGTTGCATTCTTGTTCACACAATATTTCAAAAATGCCTCAAGATAATTTCCTCAAGTTTGGCACAAATGTCCTCTCGGATTCAATGACTACATTGTGGTGGTCAAAGGTCAAAGTCACTGTGATCTTGCATTCGTCTATCTTGTAAATGCGATATCTCAAGAACACCTTGAGGGAATTTCTTCAAATGTGGCACAAACATCCACATAACAGTGAACTGATAAGAATTTGGCAGTCAAACGTCCATCTCATTCTCATGCTATATCTCCAAAGCGCCTTGAGACAATTTCCTCAAATTTGGCACAAATGTTCACTCGGATTCAACAATGAACTGATTACATGTTAGTGGTTGTGGGTCAAAGTCACTGTGATCTTGCATATGTCTTTCTCATAAACGCAATATCTCAAGAACTCCTTTAAGGAAATTTTTTCAAATGTGGCACAAATGTCCACTTAACAGTGAACTGATTAGTAGTCAAAGGTCACTGTGACCTTGTCCGTCTTTCTCGTTAATGGGATATCTCAAATGTCTAGCTGGGCTCAATGATAAACTGCTGAGAATTTGGTGGTCAAAGATCAAGGTCACTGCACTCAACACGTTTTTTACAAAACTGCAAGAATTCATACATATAACAAAATTGCACAGAAATGTCTGTTGGGATAAAATGATGAAGTGTTGACTGACTGCATTCCAATACCCATACTATATAGTAAGCCAGGAAAAGATTTAGTATGTCCTAATACATAGTATGTCAAATGCAGTATGCCAAAAATACCAGGATGTTCTACTACATCCACTCTGATGACTCTGAAAGTTCAGGGCGTAATGTTGTGGGGAGGTAGTATGTCCTGCATGCAAAAGTACATACTTTTTAAGGCCAGCTGCAGTACCTACTAAAAGTTTTTTAAAAAAGTATGCAATTCAGAACAGACCCAATATAGATTCAAAAGGTCAAGGGTCAACTTCACTGTGACATCCCTGATTTCACTGATGGATGTAAGCTGTACATGCAACCTGACTGGTGCACGGAGGCATACAACCATGAGGTGGTAATTCTACTTCAAATAATTACTTCATGAGTCAAAGATAGTTTGTAGCGATCTTGATGAGATATATTTCTACATCACTTGGCCTACAGAGGTGTAAAGATGTCCCCTGTGGAAGCATGATCAATACATGACCGGCGGAGGTGTGATTTCCTCATCTTTCGGTATGAGCGGAGACTTCAGTACAACTTTAAATTCCTCTGCTAGAATACCAGGTATCTCCTCATCTTTAAGTTCCCTGGTTGTGGTTTCCAACACTGTTCCCTCTGTTGGGAACGTGGTGCTGGTCAGTCTGCGGCCGATGTAGCTGAGCCTCCCACCTGGCTTTAAGATCGTGCAGATGGACTTGCAGAAGAAGATGGAGCTGGGGGAGCTCTGATGGTACTGGCACATCTCTTCAAAGTCCTCCAGCCGCTGAGGTTCCAGGGTGAACTTGTAGATCTGCGTCCAGTCTCCATGTGCCCCTCTGTTCTCCTCCTGCTGCCACTCCACAAAGTGCATCTTCTTATCCTTTCTGATGCGGTACACCCTGTGGCCCTGCTCCTGGGGGCCACTGGTGTCCAGGGAAAGGGGAGCACTGAAACCAGAGGCACCAAACCCGACGTCACACAGCCAGCGCTGCCCATCAAGGCTCACCATGAGGACCAGGTGGTCAAAAGGTGGCCCGTAGCGACACGTGATGTGGTTCCTCACCTGACCGGAGAGCAGAGTCACCTGGAAGCCCAGTGTGGACAGCAGCCAGGAGAAGAGGCCGTTATTCTCAAAGCAGAAACCACCCCGCCGCTGCGTCACTATCTTGTCATACAGGAGAGGGAGAGCGAGGTGAACCCGCCCGCCGCTGTGCACCGTGAGGTTTTCAAACGGCACCGACAGCAGGTGACAGGTGTGGACCGACCGCAGCACCTCCAGGCTGGGCTCGGCTGGGCCCGCAAACCCGATGCGCGACAAATAGGTCTCCACGTGCATCTCAGCGGAAGTCATTATCGCTGTTTTTAATGTGTTACAGGATATTAGTTTAACTTTAGACCTAAGCTTCCTGGTGAATCGCGGTCCAGGTGACTAATAACAAAGTCTAGAAATAAAGAAGGGTCAATGGTCCAAAGTACAGAAGGTTCCTGTGAGTGCTTCCTGCTGCTGGGTTGTTTTCCTCTGATGTAGTTCTCCTGAGGGGCAGGCACTAAGTCAGTGACACCACCCCTCAGTCAGCTGCTGCTTTGTAAAAGAATACATAAATAGGCTATATATAGGTACAGCACCTATAGACAGCTTGTAATTCTGACAAGTATAAGGTTTAGGGATTTTTATTTATTGTCATTATTATTATTATTATTATTATTATTATTATCATTATTATTATTATTATTATTATTATTATTGTTATTATTGTTATTATTATTACATTAATTTATTTATTATTTTGGTGAATAAAAAAGCAGTGGTGGTGGAAATGGATCCCTTTTTTCAAATCATGATTTGAAAAAAGGGATCCAAATCATGATTTTTTCCAGACTATTTTTTGTCAAAACTTTATTGTTATTATCATTATTATAAATAAATGTATTTATTTATTTATTTATTTTTGGTGAATAAAAAAGCAGTGGTGGTGGGGAAAAAAAAGATCCTTTTTTTTCAAATCATGATTTTTTTTCCAGACATTTTTTTTGTCAAAACTTACAATATTGTTAAAAAATATATATACATATAATTTACCCATTTTTAAAAATAAATGTTACACAAAGGTGCAATTAAATTATATAAATGGAAAAAATAAAACTCTTTTTTTTAAATTGTAAATCATTTAGTAATTAATTTTACCTTTTATATCTTTTCCTCTTTGCTATTTTATCGTAAATCGGTATCCTTTCCTATGTTTTATATTTTATTGCTCTGTAAAAGCACTTTCAATTGCCCTTGTTTATAAAATGTGCTATTTCTATTTTTTCTTTCTTTTTCTTTTTTTTTTTTTGTAAATAAAAAAGCAGTGGTGGTGGAAATGGATCCCTTTTTTCAAATCATGATTTGAAAAAAGGGATCCAAATCATGATTTTTTCCAGACTATTTTTTGTCAAAACTTTATTGTTAAAAAATACATAATTTCCCTTTTTTTTGATAAATGTTACACAAAGGCACAATAAAATTATATAAAAGGAAATGTAAAAAAAAAAAAAAGTTTATTTTATTTTATTTACTTATTTAATTTAATTTCTTTTAATTTATTTACTTACTTTATTTTATTTTGTTTGAAAGGGCTGATGCAACATAGTTCCAATACAGAGTATGGGACGGATGTGTTGAGTTTATAGCTATTGCTAATTTTCAGCTCTTGTCCCTAGTTGGTCTTTTACATGTAGACCTAAAATGTTATTAAAAATATGTAGTTCAAAACATCATACAACCACACTATATGCACAGTATAAACATGGAAGGCACAATAAAATACACACACCACAATATAGAATATGTCATAAATGCTCATTACATGTATTTGAGAGTCTATTTTGGCATGAAGAGTGTAATGACCAGGCTTAATTTCAGTCTTTAATTAATTCTCCCCCAAAAATATTTTCTGACCTCTAGTCTCATTTTGCTCCGGTGACGTCACACATCGACACTCCCTTTTCCCCAGTAGAGGGAGAAAGATGGCGCCCACACACGTACTGAGATGCTGTCAACGGGGCTTAGCATGGATACCTGTGATTTTTATCGCCCTGGTCGTCTGCTGGTCGTATTACGCCTACGTGGTGGAGCTTTGTATATGTAAGTAGTCGTCCTGCCGCCGTCCGGTGCCTCGTTACAGCCGTTAAGCCGCCGGTGTTTCCACTGAGCTGTCCACACAAACACACAGCTGCTGCTGCTGCTGCTGGCCAGGAGGAAGTAAATGGACTGCAGCTCAACAATGGTGTTGGCGAGCCTGTCCAAATGTAGATACAGCTAATTATCTGCTCGCTGCCACCGCTTTACGTCGCCTTATTTTAACGGGGAATGTGGTTTGGACACAGAGAAACTTCCGTGGTGTTAATATCGCTGCCTGTGTGTTGTTTTGTGTCGAGCTGAATGGAGTCTGGATGGAGAATTAAAATGCCAACTAAACGGTATTTGGCCGGCGGACCAGATGCATACTTCCCCAGACTACCAGTAATTAGTTGGCACGGGGGATGTGTTGATTTAGCCCTGAGAGTTTGGGTATTAAGATGAGAGAAAATGGGGGAGCATTAATCCTTAAATTGACTTTGATTGATTTAACTTCCCAAACTTTTTCATTTTACGATCACAGAAACCTCCACTGGATAAGATCTGGTGTCAGGGTCTGAATGTGGCTTAACTTGAGTCCATATGTGCTCCATCCCCACCCTACAGCTTATTTGTCCAGGGCGTGCTTCACAGTTAGGAGCTGTGATTAATCTTTAGCAGATTGTTTTAATTAAAGGATATTTAGCTGAGAAGTTAAAACTATCCAGTGTTTTTCCAAGGAAGGAAAATGACAAGAACATTAATAATGAAAGTTACTTTGGGGTTTGTCCATTTCTGATGTTCCACTTCCCATTTTTCTCACTTGATGGACTTTTTCTCTCCCACATTGGCCTAAAATTTGAAACTGAAAGTCCAATATTGACTGAGAAAACACTAGTTGAGAGATCGGTCTCTTCACAAGATGGACGATAAGATGTGATCAGATAAGGTTGTGTGAATGCAGCTTGTGGCGAGATTGCATTGTCCACTTGAGGAAAAATGTAAATAGGGCTGTGACGATGTGATGAGATGAGATTTTCACTACATGATTACATCACCAAATGAGTTCACAATAACTTTATCAATTCAATAGGTATCGACAGTTTAAAATAATAATCATAACAGCAACTTTAAGAGTCAAATTCATCATTGACTTTGTTTTTCGGCAACCAAATGCACTCAAAATACAAGTTTTGGGAAGTGAAGACAGACTGTGCCTTCCAATATCCACACTACCATATTATATAGTGTGCCAGTAAAAGATTTAGTATGTCCCAATCCATAGTATGTCAAAGGCAATATGCCAGAAATACCAGGATGTTCTTCTACATCCAGTCGGATTTTGCAGTATGCAAGCCAGCATGCTTTTATGGCTAATCTGACCCACAATCCTCTGCACAGTGGACAATATGTCACATCGCCTGAGCCTGCAATGACAGATGACAGCACATTCAAGTAACTGATGACCAGTCAAACAGTAATAATAGAAGTATTGATGGTTTAGGTGAAGATAATAACCAGAAATATCACAAACAACAACAGGACATAAGTATAAAAATAACAATGACAGGGAACTGTAGATGTAATTTCAATGTCGCAAATATAATATGTTAAAATCTACAATCTGTGAAGTTATAACCTTAAAGTTAAACTACACACATTGCAAAGTCCGGGTTGATCTCGTCTCAGGGGGACTCAGTGAGTGGCGTTTGTTTTATCTCCAAGGTAACAGATATAAAGGCAAGAGGGTCAAAGTTCAGTGCCTAATGTTATGATTAAGTAGTATGTCCGGAGTGTGTGCATGCTCCATGCAACAGTACGCACTTTTTAACGGCAGCTGCAGTGCGTACTAAAAGTAAAAAGAAAAAGTTTGCGAATTTGGAACGCATCCACAGTCTGGAGCCATAACTGTACAAAAGCGTACAAAAAGAGCATTTACACGTAATGGATAGTGAAAAGGCAACTAGATGGCGTTTGGAGACGGAGACAGAGCGAGAACGGAAAGAAATATTATTGACTTCAGAGGCACCTGGTTATTTACATGACATTATATGCATCCATTATATTTATGTGATATAAATCAGATGGTTTGACACAATACTTCAGCACCAAGAGATATGAAAGCGTTATGCATTCACTGAAAAAAAGTTATGTTTTTTTGACGACATTATTATCTCAGAATTCCAAGGAAAGTTTTCATCTTGTTTTTCTGAATTAAAAATATTATTGTTATTGTACGTCGAAGAAATATGGAGCTCCTAAATTCCCGAAAAGGTTTTTTTTTTTTTTTTTTACTTGTGCGCATGAGATGATTCCTTCGTTGATTAAAATATCACCTTTTGGGACTAGCCCCTTTTACACTGCCAGATTTTCAGCGAATGTTGGGCTATTTTGCCGGCAAGCTGCGAGCGTTTAGACACACAGAGCCGTATTGGCGAGTTGATCCGAGGTGTCCAATTTTCTGCCTCGTAGGGTAGACATATTGGCGGAACCCTTTTAGTATAAACAGACCGAGGCGGCCTTCCGCAACTGGAGGGGCTGTTGAAGACTTGTGGGAGGAGCTGTTGATGACGCTGCATGTGAGACCCACTGGCAGTGGATAAACAGGAAACAGCTGATAGCAGGAATTAGCGAGCAGCTAGTAGCAAGAGGGAAACGCAAACCTGACAGACACTGTAAAGATGAGCAACTGGGGAGACAAGGAATTGTGTGCCCTCCTTGCCCTCGCAAACAAAGAGGCCATTAACCGTCAGATGACAGGGACGGTGAAGAATGGGCTGACTTATAAGAGAATTGCTAAAGGACTGACCAGCCGCGGCTTCCCTCCCACATCACTGATTACGTCACACGCTGAGCTACACGTTTTGTAACTTGCTCATGTCCCCCATTGCCCCGAAAAAGGCGCATTCTATATAAACAAATGTAGGTAGGCAGGCCATTTTGCCGAACTCCCCGATTTTGTTTTTATACTGCCAATGCTGAAAAAAGACTGACTGGGCTTTCCTGCAAATTTGCACAGTTCCTGTTTAAAAAGGGCTACAGAGACAGACAACCATTCATGCTCACATTCACACCTACAATTTAGAGTCACCAATTAACCTGCATGTCTTTGGACTGTGGGAGGAAGCTGGAGTACCTGGAGAAAACCCACGCTGACACAGGGAGAACATGCAAACTCAACACAGAAGAGCTCCCCGAGTTAGAACCAGGATTTTTGCTGTGAGGTGACAATGCTAATCACAGCGCCACCATGCCACCCTACTATTAACATGATATCCATGTTTAATTTTTGGGGATACGTAGTAAAGCATTTCTGAAGCCTACAATCAAATGTATCACCACTGATTTTAATGTTACTGTATAACTGTCACTGTTAAGGTCTTCCTTATCTAACATTTTTGTTCTCTGTTTTTCCCCTCACAGTCACCATCCCCAGTATAGGAGAGCAGAGT